CTGTTACTTTATATATGCCTATAATCGAACCATGATATGACTAATATATTCGTTCTTTACTTCAATCTATTTAAAGCTCGTATATTGCAAAATATACTATGCTTTGAAATTCATTCAAACATATAGTTGAGATTAAGACATTTAGACGACTATTAGTTAATCATCTACTCAACATATTATTCATTATAAAAACATAACGTAATTTGAGGTTTTTATCTCAAAAGTCCCAAATGAAAGCATATCATGACTTTGTTTTTGATTTGCTATGGGCAGTTTAAGGACCTATAAGAATAAAATTACTTACTAATAGGACTCAGTTATATGGGAAAAATTATATAAACTATTCCCTATTTCTTAAGCACTGACAGAAATTTTGACGATGAATTTTGAGTTATTCGTGCCAAATTCCATGATACATCAGAAAGATAATGTCAGGAAATAAGGTGAGAATCAATAACCAACCTACATAACTACTTCATATTCAAGTAAGCATCAAGATTTTCACATTATAAAGGGTTTATGTTGAAATTTTTTCATGTATAGGTCGTAGAAATAACCTCGAATTCCATTTTTATTTAGAATAGCAAGATTCCGGCACGGATTTCATTGTACTACTAATTCAACAGCTTATCCCTTTTAGCTACATCTAAAAATGACCACTAGCTTCATAATGCAGATAACAACCAATTGACGTGTATTGTGACTACGGATAGATGTAATCATTGAACAATTTACAATCAGGTAAGTAGATTGAAATGTCGAAGGGAAAAAAGAACGACCATAAAATAGGTAATGAAGTGCATTGAAACAAACCAGTAGTGAAAAAAACACCCTAGCTGTCTGTCATGAAATCAGCTCCAGTTCACATTCTTAAGTTTCGAACATATTGTACAGTCATCAAGTTTCGATTACACTTATATGTGAGATAGGCTGTTGTGTTCTAAAAACAATAAAAACTGTTGTTACAAAAACTAGCTTCAGAAACCCACTCAAATATCCGACAACTATTGCTAGGTTAAAAAAGACTCTTGATCTAGGGAGATTTTTATGAAGTAACCCACCAATTCTATGAAGATTTCTATGAATCAAAGCAATCATTATAACTGATGGTTTTAAAATTAAATCAAGAGCGGAAATATTCGTAAAGTCATTATGAGACTAATAGAGGCTGTCAATTTTGAATCCATGTGCTCATGGATAAATTTAGAACATACTGTCAATAAACCTACACAAATAAGGTGATTTGACATCTTCCTAAAACAATTAACATGAATCGATCGTATGATAACACATAGTCAACTAGATATATTTGGTAGATATTACTTAAAGATTATTTCTCTTTAACTATCCCACGCAATATTACAGTAAATGAACATAGTATAAAATTAATGGGACATATGCATAGATTGAACCAATAGACGCTATCCTAGGAAAAAAAGTTATCGGCAGCAAAATGAAGTAGATTATACAATTAGATTGCGATATTAAAACAATCGGAACCATAGTTGACTATTTCTACAAAATGAAGTGTACTAGCATGAACATTTGTTAAGTATAAATAATTCAATACCACTCTATCAGTTTAAGTGAAAGAAATCACAAATAAAACCATGCGATTATTTGAAAGAATAATCATAATACAAAAGAAATTGATTACCTGATTTTATCAATTCATTCCTGAAGTCAGACTGAAAAGCTTAACCAATACAGATTTTGTAAATAAAGTAGAAAAACAATATTTCATAATGTTAAGGAAAAAGGGAAATATGAACAAAAACAATAACAACCGACAACCCACAAATCAAATTACATGAGAAGTAAATAAAAACAGGGAAATAGGCAACAAAACGAATAGTAATAAGCAATCAGGAATAAGTTCAAAGAAAATGTTAAAATTATATTCAAATTAACAGGCAAAATATAATTAATGACATTAGGTTAATGACATTTAATAAACCTTAGTGAACCAATGATTAGTATAAATATTTAAGAGACTAACAGATGTAATTAATAACCAAACGATATCTAACAGTTGAGTGTATTTTAAACACTTTTTGCGTTAACGATAATGTGAGTTACCCAATAAATTGATAGTACGGAAAGTACAGTTTCCATCAACAAATTTAAAACAAATGTAGAACCAGTGGGAACTAAGTAGGATTTGCATGCTACATAGTTTTAAACTTCACTTAACAAGGCATAACACCCTTGATTTCATAATAATCAGTGCGTATAAATCTATCACTTTAACTATCAGTCATGATCCAGCATAACCATTAAGGTTTAATCGGTCAGGTATCGTTTTCTACTGTTGATCTTGACCACTCCTACGTACTCATGAAAAAGTATTGACAGTTTGAAAGTCATGAACTACAACCTTTCATTTCAGAATTAATAACAGAGATGATAAGGTAGTAACTGATTTAACTATTTAATGCCATAAGTATTGAATAAAATTCATTCGATACTTGGATTTCTCAACATCTATGGTAAAAATTATAAACATTGAACCATAGCTAAAACTTAGATTGCAAACTTTATATTCATCATCCAACTAAATCGTTCACTTCCGGTCAGTACAATTAGATGAGGACCAACTTTAATACAAACCGGAACCACTAGTTAATAAAGATAAAGTTCATGATAAAACTCATGTTTTAGACTGAAGACCTTGTAGTGTCACAAAACATATGTAATAATAGTAGCTTTCATACCAAGTCATAGTTTTAAATCATAATTTGTCCACGATGCTAACGGAAACCAATATTTAGTTAAATCGCCATATTATAGATCTACAATTGTGCCACTGAGGAAATTCGATTCCAGTAAAACATTTGAAGGTAGTCGGTCGAATTATTTAACCAATAACCAAATCATTTAGGCATCACACTAACATGAGTGTGATTTAGCATCAAAGTAAAAAGCGAATCTGACCCAATTAAACGATCAAATGTATCTATCAGAAAATCAATAATATGACGTGAATAAACATAACCAAAGACCATTATATATTTTGTTTATTTGGTGAAGACGCTGACAAAATGCAGTCTTCTGACCACTCTAAGCAACTATGCAAACATGTTCGGGATGCGATTCTCCCCCTCGAAATGCAAAATGTTGCTTCAGGATTGGGTTGCATTGACACCCGAACTAATGATAGGGAGTAAAGTAATTGAACGTGTCGATCGCTTCACTTATCTTGGAAGGATCATCAGCCCCTGTGGTCTGGTGTGTGACGAAATCTCAGCACGGATACAGAAGGCTCGACTAGCTGGCTTTCGCCAACTTACGTCATTTATGGCGTAGGCGAGATATCCGTCTATCAACCAAAGGACGGGTTTACTGTGCAGCAGTTCGTTCCGTCCTGCTTTACGGCAGTGAAACATGGCCGGTAAGAGTAGAGGATATTCGTAGGTTACTAGTATTTGATCAAAGGTGTCTTCGAAACATTGCTCGTATATCCTGGGACCATCAAGTAATGCAGATGTTAGGAAACGGGTACTAGGTAAGGATGACAAATCAATTGATGACGTAGTGAAACTTCATCAGTTGAGATGGCTGGGACACGTGTTACGTATGCCCAACGACCGACTGCCTCGACGTGCGATGTTCAGTGGTATAGGAGTAGGTTGGAAGAAAGCTAGGGGCAGCCAGACCAAAACATGGCACAAGTCCATGAAGTCACTGACAAGTGGACTGAGTCATGCTGGTAGGTGTAGACTACCTAGTTGGGGACCGCGAGATGATAGGAACCGATGGTTAGAGACCCTGAATGACATGGCTGAAAATCGTTTGCAATGGCTCAGAAGCATCCACTCTTTGTGTTCTCCCAAATTTTGATTTCCTTATACCTGCCTGTCTCTTTTTCCTCTTCCCAAATTTATTTTACTGGATTATACTCCTTGAATAACATCTTCAAACCCTAATTTTTCTGATTACAGCTTATAATTTTACTACATCTAGCACTACGGGATTTGAATCGACCACTGCATCTCCGTGTTAATGTGGTGTGGCAACTCGAACTGATGTACGTACATACGAAGTTCTACGTTGTTACTGACTGACTGACTGATATATTTTGTTACAAATAACAGTTAACTTTGAAAATCTTGTGGAGAAAAGTAATACAAAATGTACAAATCAGTTTCAGGGTTCGTATAAAAGTCTGCAAGCAACAATCATGATAAGACTAAACATTGAGAAAACTGTTTGAGAAGAAAAAAATTGAAAAGATATATGTGGAAGAATACTGGAGTTTGAGATCTACAGTAAGGTAAGGAGTAAATGTATCTGGCCCATGACACAACATGTCTATAACCATTGATTACAGACATCGTGTGGACGCCGCAACTAGGCAGTGTGCATCTACTAAAATGATTTAGACCAAAAGTCAATGAGCCCACAATTTGATGCTACATTTTAGTCTGGCCATCTTTAGTTTTCTTACAATTTGCTCATACATCAGCTAACACCAGTAAAAGATATACATAATACTCATAAAATTACTGTTTGCTACAAAAATGTAATTCAGCTTGGTTAACACATCCAAAATGTTTATTTAGAAATGATTTGACCATTAAAAAGCCAGACAGGGAAATTAGAAGATACGTATCTCTCAATTATTTCTACGAACACATCACCAAACCTGTACATAATTTGGTAAAATACACAAATTCATTATCACCAAGTAAAATATACTCAATCACATGCACATAAAATCAAGGACGAAGTGGCAGTGTAGAAATTACACAACAACAAGATGTGAATAAAAGGAAAACCACAAAAACAAACCTCACCAAAAACCGAAACCCATGCAAGTTTGACAACTTACAGAGAGACGAATGTTTATGATGATAATTTTTTGACTAAATAGTATGAAATTGCAATATGAAAATTAAACTACAAAAAATCAAGAAACTTGGAAAAAATATGAATGAAAAGAAATTTGTACAAAAAGTCCCAATATTTTATTAATTAAAAACAAATAAACACTGAAGTTGTTATGTTGAATAGTTAGATGGAATGTTTTTGTTAGCTTGATTAGACGGAATATTTGGAGGAGTTGCGTATGAGGAGGAACCATTTGTAGGAAGCGTACTCGGTGTGTTTACAGATTGCCTTGACAAACGTCTAACAACGTTGATATGTTCTGCATATTGTGTCATTGTTAGTCGAACGCAAACATGAGATAATGGAGAATCATCTTGCAGGAAGTTATTTTCCACTGGGAAAGTTAATTGACTGGGTGGCCAACGTGGTGCATCAAATGTGCCTGTTTCAACAGCTTGTAAAAAAGATGGGCTAAATATATGTTCTGTTGAACTATTAGCTGGTGGACAAATATCCGGTAATACTTGGGTAATAAAAGCTTTTAATACATCACGACACAAATGTATCATGCATGATGCATGAAAACAAACCTACAAAACAAAGTGTAATAAAATCAAATTATAGACAGAAAAAAAATGAAATCTAAAATAATATTTTTTATGTTTTAGTTGGTTGTTTAAGTTTTGAGATAGTTTGCATCAGACTAACTTCAGTTGAAACATTCAAGCAGCACTGATTAATTTACTGTTTTGTCACAGTTTGTGACAGCGCTGTGCCAGTGATCAACAGGCTGAAGACGAACAAGCCTCAAAGCAAGTGAATCAGTGGTCCACGCAGCCAATTTTATTCGACTAGTAATAAATGGTGGTGACCGTTTATTGTTATAGATGACACCAGTGTTGGTCTGTAAATTGCTGAACTTCAATCAGTCATATCTAGTGCTCCCTAGTTTTTAATCGTTCACCAGCAAAAGTCGGTTTATGACGAAAATAAGGCGTGTACAACTAAATGACCTTAATTGTAATATTTGCTTCCTATATTTTGAAGGATGAGTTGGACATTGGTTTCCTCGCAATACCATGTGGTCCACAGTTTTTAATACCAGCATACTGACTCTTGGAAATAATAGGAATAAATCTGGAGAGCTTTGGAGACATTTACAACAGAAGTTGACAATAATGTCGACGAGCATTATAAGAACATACTCAATAAATGAGTAATAAATCAATTTATTTAACATTATTCAAATACAGGTTAAATAGTTTCTTAATGTTCAATTCTGTGAAGCCAATATTAAGGATCACCAAAGCATTTTCCAAAACAAAGAAGAGAAGGATTCCAATAGATGTCACTCAGTGGTACGCGCCAACAAATAACAGCACCGACGGTGACAAATATCAGATTAATGAGGTTGCAGTTCATTCCTTAGAAATATCCAGAAAAACACCAGATTATTCTCACAGAAGACCCAAACGCCAAGGCTGCAATGGATAGCACTGGGTATGCATGCATCATGGGGTTAAAGAGGCTGGGGGGAAGAAACAATAATCAAAAGATACTCTTAGGTCTATTTCCTTTCAATAACATGGTTTAGGCAGCAGCACCTTCCCCAAAAAGCGCATACACAAAGTTACAAGGGTTTCACTGGGCCTTACTACAGGAAACCAGATCGACTATATCTGGATTAATAAAAAAAAATTCATAAAGGTTCATGAAAGACGTAAGGAAGAAGAGATCAGCTGATGTAGTTAAAACTGAAGCTAAAGAAGTGTTGACCTCCTGGACAATCAGCACCATAAAAATTAATACAGCTCACCTTCCAGATGCTACCACGCCCAATGAGTTCAAAACAGATCTCAACAACAAGTTCCAAGCCTTACAAGATCCATTAGAAGAGGAAAACAGGAAGGAGAACTGGAAAACATTAAAGCACGAATAACTTTAGCATGCCAGGAAATCCTGGGATCCAAGAAACACCAGCATAAAGAACTAATCCCTGTAGACACCCTGGGCAAGATTCGAGAAAGAAAAAACAAAACAGCATGAGTCTACAACAGCTGAACAAAGCAGAGAAAGCCACGACACAGGATAAATATACAGAAGCAAACAAATGAAAATAATCGAGTTGGCAATTAGCAGCTCACAGATGCATTCCAAGGGTAATCCGATGTGATACAAGACTCTCTAATCTCACTTTAACTCTTTTTGCTAGCTGTTGACTGAATCACGAGGATCTTCACATCGCAAGAAAAATAGGGAATACAGTAGAAATCTTGGGCCCAGTTGGATGATAAACCATTCTATCTCATAAACAACATTAAATTCAGGTGAAAAGAAAACAGTATAGCAGAGCATTTTGAAGTGAGTTTCAACATTTACAAGGAGAAAAGACCATGAAGAACAACACAGCAAACAACAACAAAATCACACCCGATGAAGAAGCTCTGGAAGACGTGTCTTTACACATCTGGATAGCATTATTGATAACCAAAGAGGATCTGACGATGTCATGGTACGGACTTGCAAACATACAGCGCCTGGAATCGGAGGCAGAAGTCTATACCACGAATACCACTTCATAACAACTGAAAATAAGAACCCAAAATAGAGTTGCCTAGAGGTCTCCAGTCAATGGGCTTGCCCCAACAGCGATAGTAGTGATAGTTTACCACGACTATTACTACTGTAGTAAATAAGAACACGAGTGGGGACAACCGAATGTATTTGACACGAAATTACAGAGAATCTCAATAAAATGTGAGAACCATATAGTAAACAGTTAATTTGCAAAATATTAATCCATCGTCTCAAACTTGACCGTTCCTTTTGGAAACATCAGTCCATTGTCTCAGATTTCATTGTTCATGCATTTTCATACCAATTGCGTTCCGTTCCCGTTCTTTCCTTCTCGATCCTCTGCTGAAATACATTTTATGCCCGACCACACCACACTACCACTATTACACAAGAATATTCTGATTGATACAAGATCAGTTTTACGTTACATTCGCGCCCCAGAGTGTTTAGCTAGAATTCAAATCAAGTATTTTGAAGTGTGGAACATGATGAAGGGAACTATATATATGCAAACAATGTGGGACGGTTCAAAATGTAAATCTGTTGTTAAAAACATGCATTTTGCCGGATCCGCACGTGCGTTCAATACGAGTATAGGATAATAATAAATAATAGCAACAAAACTATTCATTCCTGGTATAGCATCTATTAAACGACATTGTAGTCTTCAAGGATACAATTACCCAGAAATTGAAGATAATAACTACTATAAGGTCCTTTTTCACTGCAAAAGATAACATTATTGGTCTATAAGAAGCAAAATACTGATACGGAACATCCAAAAAATAACATACGAGATAGACTTCACTACAAACTGGTAAATTTCTATGATCACAAAGATATTTATACGGTAAACAACCTGTTAACAAGTATAGTTTAATTAATTTTAGTTTGCTTCACAAGCTAGAATCACTAAAGAAACGATTGGAGCCCCAAAGAAACTGTGATAGTTTTACAAACGACTTTTTTCCATGATACAATCTAGAGTGTACAGAAATTTATCAGGACAACAGTGTACAATAATGACCCAAACAATAGTCAACACGTTTCTATATCGGTTTTTAGTGACATTAATCTAAGAAATCTCAATAAACAATGAAAGCTATCATTGTTACAATGAGTAGAAATAGGTAATCCCTGATTGTTTTGTGACACATTTTTAATTTTATGTATTTCGATAACAGAATCATGTTATTGCGACCGAACATTTCATATGTAAATAATAACTTGTTCTAATTCACAATATGGGAATTTTTTTAATTTTGAAGTCACGTGGGGGAATCTGATTTTATTTAAGGTACTCAACGAGTTCCTAAAGTTTAATGCCTGGCTAACAGAAGTGGAAACATAGTTGGAATTCATTAATGATTGTATACGTATTGGAAATTTCTACGCCGGAACAAAATATATCCTAATGCTAGAACCCTTAAACGACAAGCACTCAACCAAACAGATTTATTAAAAATGCATATAATCTATCTCGGAAGAAATGTTTCACAAAGAAAATCTACTGTTGCTTATATATGTTGTTCCAATACCATATCTCATCGAACCCATTATGTCGTTGTGACTGTTATATTCCTGATGAAATTTATTCAATGGCAAACAATCACAACAGTTTTACATGATACTTACCTCGATTAAATATCCTTTAACGGAAGCACTCTGTCCCATGAATATTGTAATAAAATTAATTGTAAAATCACCCAACTGATACTTTATTCCTTTAGCTTCAACTTGTAGTTTCTTTTTACGTTGATAAAAAGCTTTTAAGCACCCTGGGAATTCACGAAAAGATATATCGGCAACAAGAGCTGTTTGATTGTCAGAGAATACAAAACATGAAGCTGGATATTCAGTTGATGTGAGAACTTGAAACGTTTTACACTGAGCTAGCGATATATGCGTAATTTTGTTGTTAGAACAGAAAACTACTTACATCTAGCAAAGTTTGAAAAGTAAACTGCGCTCTCTATATGTATTCGACCGCACTTTTGTGCACCTAGTTTTGTTCATATTCAAATACCATTAACTGACAAACCAAGAAGTTCTAGTTTCTTCATAAGGTTCTCAAGAATCTGTGGATCACTGTTTCCTTCAGATGAGTTGAGCAATAACACACTGAAAATCTAGAATGTAAGTAGCGATAAAAACTAACCACGAAACTCCTGCCATTTGGTCAATCTAAAATATAAAAATGTGTACAAAAGTGATGAGCACTATGATTATTTTTTCGAGTGATGTGATAAAACTGACTACAGGGCTAACACTATAAATACTGCGACAGGAGCTGGTATCCTGAAGTGGTATTCGGGTTTACATATTGTGACAACCCAATTGAGCTGCATGGGCTGAAGCATTCACTCCTTCAAGTTCTATCATGTCAGGCAGGATCGTTGGAGAGTGATAAGATCAAAAACAATAAACTCGTGATCCGAGGATGAAGTTTTACTTCCAACTGCATAGGGGTGAGACAATAGTAATGTCAGTCAGTCATCTACAACGTAGGATCAGGCACATATATGCATCGGTTCAAGTTGCCACACCGCATTAGCACAGTAAAATGAACACCGGATTCATAGAAGTAGTTAAGTCAATTGTGGTAATATATACAAGAAAGACTGCATATAGGGATATAATACAAGAAAGAACTAGTTCGTAGAAAGGAAGGTATGAAGCAGTTTTAAGTTTAGTTTAAGGGAAGATAGGAAGTGTATACACTTACGCCATTATGGTCAATCCTGAGACATGTCACCCAAAGTCTCCGACCGTTGGTTAACAGTCACGCAGACCCCAACTAAGTAGTCTGCATCTACCAACATGGCTCACACTAGAAGTTAGTGACCTCAAGGACTGATGCCGCGTTTTGGTTTTATTTTATTTATTTATTTATTTGGTACAATGAGGCATGAAATAGTTATGCGCCACATAAATCATTCGATATGTATGACGGGTGGGATACTGCCCACGTGCTCAAACCAAAACAGGTAGTTTTCTTAGGGGATCACACCCGGAGCCTTCCACCTAAAGGTCTAGTCCACAAGGCAGTGGAGCAACGTCAGGAGATGTAGTCCCATGGTAGCCGGTGATCAATAATTGGTTCACATGCCATTTGTTCCTTTAGGATCATACAGCCCATGTGCACCATAGGTTTGGAATCGGGGATCTCCAACTCTCCTAGGCGGACTCTCCGTGTCCACCAACCCGGTTAAAGCGCCGGACATTCGCTTACCGTCCTCTCAATTTCCCAAATAACACCCGCGCCACGAGGAGTGAGTAGAACTTCCCTGGAAGTGGCTGCATACGCGTGGCCATGTGAGAGCATTTCGAGAGGGAGAGCTGACTCTCCCCACTCTCGGCCGTACCAGGGCATTTTGGGGATTAGTGCTACACCTAAAGCCACCAGTCCACGAGGACTTGCCATCGGGTCGCCAGATACACGGAGGGTGTATTTCGTCGGCTCCCCGTTTTAGCTAGGTGAAGTTAAGTGAATGACCACACCAGGATCCAGTATGTGTTTCGGAGATACAACACATATCAATTGTACGAGATTATAGGGTCTCAGACAAGGAAGCAAGCTGGCCGATTCGACTTGGGGTATGTACGTTGAAGGCCCCAATGTGTAGTTTGGAGCGAGGTCTTATTAGGCCTGGGATAGGATTTCTCGCACTGGAGTGACACTTGAGGAGGAAGTTTAAAGTTGACAGTCAAAGTAGGGGGAATAACAGGAAGTGAAGAGGAAAATTGATTATGAATACAATGATCTCAAGAATTGTAAAAGGTATGAGGGTGTTATATCCCGATAAGAATAATGAATGGTAATTCTTGGGATCCATTTATGGACCAATACTATGAGTATATTTTTATCGTGTAGTTGTTATGTAACCAAACTGTCCATATTCATGTCCCTCTTATTATGAGTTTTATTTTGACCTATGAACTATTATTATACGATTCACCATTCCTGAGTTATGGCCTGTCTATTAATTACTATCTCCCTCATTCACAGACACTTTTGGCCAAACATTGTACAAATGTTGTTTCATATTTTATGGTACGTTGTGGTCTGTCTGGTTGATATATAAACCGAGTATGTTTGAAATAAATGATTCATATTGCAGTGGCTGAGATTGGTGTTCTGGACCTAACTGGCTGGGCTAGACAGGAAGCAAGACCAATCAGGACTCTAGGCTGCTCGCACGTGTTTCACGCGTCACTGGTTCGATTGATAATTCGCTGCTCTCTGGTTAGCGGTGTCGTTGCGTTATTCAATATACAGGACACACAGGTTCACAAGTTATAACAGAGGGCGGTTACTACTTCCCGGTTGCCCATACCCTAGAAGGGTTCTTCTACAGGAACTTAAAAAGGAAATTGGGTTAGAGCTGGTCTTAGTGACCGCTGTGCCCAAGGGACAACTGCTTGAAGCCGGTCACACGACCTTTTTGTGGGTAGTTTTTGTCTTATCCCCGTACTTGTTGAAACCTTACAGCTGGAGACGGATATCCGAGGGATAAGGAGAGGCGTGCATTTCTAGGGTCGACCTTTTCTAACCCCACCCTTCCTTTATGGGAAAGCAGCATCGCCGTTATGCTGAGTGTTTTAGGGAAACACCTTACCGCCGTCACATCTCTGTACAGTTGTCAGCACGATTTCATCCTCGGACTTTGGGTTTGCTGCTTTTAGTCCTGCCGTTCTTAAACCGACCTGTCTGGCATGGTAGGACCAATGGCATTAGTCCATGAAGTTACAGACTGTTGGACTGAAACATGTGGATAAGTGAAGACTACCTGATTGGGGTCCCCGTAACGAGTAGAGGTTGTGGATATCATGCTTCGAAATTGGTTCAAGTGGTGCAGGTGCATTTGCTCTTTGTCTTCCCTTGGATCCTAAATTTCTAAATAACCATGTAATTTTTTTATTCTACTAATTTTTATTTTCTAGAATGGTATATTTGATGCTAATCTTTACTATTACCAACGATACCATTAATACATCTATTTTATTGGCATTAGTCCTAACAATTTCATCTCCCTATGACAAAAGGGTGTGGTAACTTGAACCGATGCACATGTGTGCAAGGTTATACGCTACGCGTGACTCACTGGTTGATTACCTTAAGAAGTATTCTTCCATGGTGAGGGTAAAGGAGAAGTTATTACCGTCATTATATTTTTAACAGTATGCAAGATCATTATCAAATATTTCCACTATCCCACTATCAACTGTCATCTGTCATCAACTTCTGTCCCGCTAATGATGAGTCCAGTTCACAGGTTTTCAGTAGCCAAACTACAAAATACATATTTTGGCCTTCAGTGTTCGAACCTGGTGTCAAATTGGATAACAGACATCACTAGCTAAGACACTAGGATCTCACGCCATCGACGTGTACTGTCTCCAAAACAGGTAAACAAGACCTTATTGAGATCGCCCACTTTAACGAAGCCCGTAGAAAGACTACAATGACAAAGCATATGGCGAGAACATAATTGATGAGACTATCAAGTCCAACCTTAGAATTGATACCTATAATTTATGAACATATTAGCGACCCGAAATTGATGTTGAGAAGCTTTATTAGTTTACGAATTATTGTGAGAAATTAGAATTAGGAGTGAGCATTAAAAGTTCATGTTAGGAACTAGTAATGATCTTCATCACGAACCGAGATCAGTTATAATGCCAGGATCCTATTTAACCACACGAATGAATGAATTTCACGCAAAAATTCAGACGACGATATTTTGAATCTGATCGGCTGACTTATAAACTGCAACCTCACTACATATACTTCTTACCGAGTCGATGCCAGTATTTCATCCACGACAAAGTTGGAGACGAATGGTGAGATTCCTCAACCACGTCCAACACCAATATTTAAGTCGGGACAGTGGAATCAGTCAGTCATAAAAAACTTACAACCTGACACTTGTGTATCGGTTCAAATTATCATACCACAATAGCACAGAGATAAACGACAAATTCCGGAATAGAAGCAATAACAGTGGTGGAATGAGATGCTTTGTGACTCCACTGTTCCAGATTTTTGCGTGCGAAGTTTGCAAGTCTAAAAAACACCTCAAATACACACATCGACCAACAGACATAGAACAAAATCGAATGAATAAGTTTTGATGTTGAGACATGATGAATTTCGATTATATTTTAGTGATCTTATTAGTGGATCATTTATGAATAAACCCTAATTTCATCTGTTTGCTAACAAAATAACCTCCAGATCTTAGCAACGCGTCTACAGAAAATGATGCCGATTCGTAATATACGGTGAAAATGCAAAAACAATTTTTTGGACCAACAAGAGTTATATTAAAACTGAACACCTTACTAGGAAATAAAGCACATCTAGGATTCTGTAATAAAATGTAATATAAATTGTCCCTAGATTAGGACATATACTAGTCAAACTTGAGGAAGGTAACTAAGTGAACAGATATTTTGATAGTGGTTCATGAACGTCACCGTTAGCACAACTTATTATTATCAGTTTTTAATGGTATTAGATAATTTACATCCATTGGTTTCTTACTGACTGAAACCAGACAGTAGTTTCTCAAGGATTTTTCAAGGGTCGTCTGAAATACTACTTTATAATTGTTGGAATTTAAAATGCTATGCACTATAGTATATATTATATGCTTATAAGCATGAAGTATAATATCAAACTACCACATTGAATACGAACAGGTTCAAATAGCATCCCGAGTTTCACTAAAAACGTACGTAGCATTCGAGGGAATATGCAGGAAAAATGGAAAGAAAACACTATAAGTGGAGCATTTCACGTGGTTTCATACTCACCAATCAAAAACAGTGTAAAAGACCAGGCATTTGGAGCGCTCAATCCAGGACCCCAACAAAAGACTAAATAAAACAAAACATTTAAATCTAAATCTTCCGTCTAAAACACTTTGTGTAACTTCAACTATGGTTTTTTCAAGACAGATATAAATAAGTTAGTTATTTGGTACTGTTTAACAAGACTGATTTGAAACAATTAGAGGAAGGAGGCAATGACTTAGTATTTGTGATTATCCCTGCTTTTGTGCACTTGTTGCATCGAAAAGCATTCCTGGTCCACTTTAACTTGAATTGTTTTGACCAAGATTTGAAATTTTGCTGAAATTTGTCTTGTGATACCATCTTTCTTATTG